TTTTCTCTCTTTTATTCTTTCTCCTCTTTTTTATTTTCTCTTTTTATTCTTTCTCTTCTATTTTTTCTCTTTCTTCTTCTCCTCTTTTTTACCTTTTCCTCCTTTTTGTTTTTCCCTTTTTATTTTTTTCTCTTCTATTTTTCTTTTTTCATTTCCTCCTTTTTCCTTTTATTCTCTTTTTTCCCCTTTTTATTTTTCTTTTTAACTTTCCCCTCTTTTTTATCATTTTCTCTTTTTTACTTTTCCTCTTTTTCATCATTTTCTCTTTTTTACTTTTCCTCTTTTTCATTTTCCCCCTCTTTTATTTTTCCCCTCTTTTACTTCCCCCCTCTTTTATTTCTTTCCCCTCTTTCCTTTCTCCCCACCCCACAACAGACCCAAATATTCCCATAGCTCCGGTCGGACAAATCCCAAACCCGGCACCACCCGGCCCCAAGTTTTGGGGTGCCACCAACAGCCCCATCCACGGGACTTCAGACCCCAAGAGCAACCCAAAACCCACCGATTCCCCCAAATCTCATCCCTTTTTCCCTTCCTTTTCCCAGGAATTTACTCCGGAGGCAGCCAGATGACCCCCGTGGGCTCCTTCCGCCCAGGTGAGGCTCCGGCTCCGGCTCCGGGGCCCTCTCGGACCCATCGCCGCCGGGGCCGGATGACGGAAAGCAGAACTCCCCGACGTGCCTMCACCAAGGGGGTTATTTTCAGCGCYGTAAATAAAACACCTCTCTAAAAAACGTATTTTTTTCAAAAAAAAATCAGATTTTTTCTAAAAAATCAATTTTTTTCTTTAAAAAATCATTTTTTTCTAAAAAAATCATTTTTTCTTAAAAAATCATTTTTCCCTAAAAAAAAATCAGATTTGTTTCTTTAAAAATAATTTTTTCTAAGAAATCATATTTTTTCCTTAAAAATAATTTTTTCCCTAAAAAAACCCAGATTTTTTCTTAAAAAAAGTTTTTTTCTAAAAAATCATTTTTTTCTAAAGATTTTTTCAAAAAAACCCTTTCTCCCCAAATTTGCTTCTGCTAGGGCACGCTGACGTGCAAGGGCTTCCTGATGATGCCCAGAGCAGCAGAGGTTCTTTGTTGGTTTGGGGTTTTTTTGGGTTGATTTTTGGTTTCCCTCTGTGTTTTCTTGGCGTTTTTTTTTTGCATGGGAACTGCGGCTTGAGGGGCAACTTTGGGCAGCTTCTTGTGGCGCCCAGGGTTGTTGCTTGGTCTTGCAAGGCTTGGTCTTGTCTTGTGTCATCTTGCAGGGCTTGGTCTTGCAGGGCTTGGTCTTGTTTTGTGTCATCTTGCAGGGCTTGGTCTTGCTGGGCTTGGTCTTGCATGCCTTGGTCTTACAGGGCTTGGTCTTGCAGGGCTTGGTCTTGCCGGGATGGTCTTGCATGAGTTGGTCTGGCAGGGCTTGGTTTTGCAGCGTTGGTCTTGCAGGACTTGGTCTTGCAGTCTGTGGTCTTGCAGGGCTCGGTCTTGCAGGGTTGGTCTTGCAGTCCTTGTTCTCGCAAGGCTTGGTCCTGCAGGCCTTGACCATTGAGTGGAGAGGAGGACGAAGCTTCTCAAGATCTGGTGACTCCCCAAGGACCTCAGAGAAAGATCTCAGAGCTTTGCAGCCACGCTCTGACCCAACAAAACCCTGGGGAGATCCACCAAGCAGGACACGAGGCCTGGAGCACGTTGGGCAGGAGCCGCCTCCCCCTTGGGCAGCGGCCTCCTCGCTGAGACGGCCTCCTCCCCGTGCAGACTCCCCCGACAGCTTCGACGACGAYGACGAYGATGATGATGGCGGCGACTACGACGACGTGTCGCTCTCCGAGCCCGGCCGCGACCGCGGGAAGCCGCCGGCCGCAGAAGACCTGCAAAGCCAGAGGAGCAAGGGAGGCACAGGTGACCCCTGGGGGAGGCCGAGGGCCTCCGTGGGGCAGCGCCCGGCCCCGTGGTGAGGTCCTCTCCGAAGGCCACCATGACACTTCCCTCCTTCTTCTCCCCAGGGGTCTACACCCTGGCGGGGAAGCCGGCGTCTTCGAGTCCCACCAGAGCGGGTGAGTCCTTTGGTTCCTCACACCCCGACTCCTCCTTGCGTGGACGTGGGGGTCCCACGCATGGACATGTGGTCCTATGTATGGACGTAGGGGTCCCACACGTGGACATGGGGGTCCCACACATGGATATGGGGGTCCTGTGGATGAACATGGGGGTCCCACGCGTGGAYGTGGGGTCTCACACATGGACATGGAGGTCCTGTGGATGGACATGGGGTCCCACACGTGGACGTGGGGGTCCCACGCATGGACATGGGGGTCCCATGTGGGGACATGGGGGTCCTACACATGGACTTGAGGGTCCTGTGGATGAACATGGGGGTTCCACACATGGACGTGGGGTCTCACACATGGACATGGAGGTCCTGTGGATGGACATGGGGTCTCACGTATGGACGTGGGGGTTCCACGCATGGACATGGGGGTCCCATGCGTGGACATGGGGGTTCCACACATGGACATGGGGGTCCTGTGGATGGACATGGGGGTTCCATGTATGGACATGGGGGTCCCACACATGGACATGGGGGTCCTGTGGATGGACATGGGGTCTCACATATGGACATGGGGGTCCTGTGGATGGACATGGGGATCCCACACATGGATATGGGGGTCCTCTGCATGAACATGGGGGTCCCACGCGTGGACGTGGGGTCTCACACATGGACATGGGGGTCCTGTGGATGGACATGGGGTCTCACATATGGACATGGGGGTCCTGTGGATGGACATGGGGGTCCCACACATGGACATGGGGATCCCACACATGGACATGGGGGTCCTCTGCATGGACATGGGGGTCCACCACATGGCCATGGAGGCCATGGTGAAGCTGGAGCTCCTCCGCAGCAGTGGTGGAGCAGAAGGGAGGCCAACAAGCCCTCCAAGCCCCCCTTAGACCTGCTCTGCCCCCATATTCATGAACCTCTTCCCCAACGAGTGGTCAATGGAGTCATCACCTTCATTGACCAACCCAATCAGCTCCTTCTGGGGGAGACAACGGGCGCCACCTCCCGCTCCAGCCCCGAGGGACGTTGTCTCCACAGGCATGCTGGAGGCCGCAGCGCGCGAGCCGAGAGGCTGCCGGGACAAGTCGGTGGTGACGCTCTACCTGCTGGTGGCCCTCAGCTTCCTCATGTGGGTGGCCCTCTTCTTGCTCGCCGTGGCCAAGTGTAAGCGCCCCCCCACCTTGGTGGCCGCTCGGCGGGGACAAACTCAACGCGCCTGGGACATCTCACCACCTTCTGCGTTTCCTTCTCCTCCAGACTCGGAGCTTTCCGGGGAGCTGAAGGTCTTGAGCTCCAACTACTCCCAGAGCGGTGGGTCCTGGCGCTCCGACGTGTGGCATGGACGGAGCTCTGGCTCTGGGTCGAGGGTGGGAAGGTGGTTGGGACACGGTGGCTTTTTGGAGCGTCTTCCATCCCCGTGTTTCATAATCAGAAAAAAAAATAATGGTTTAAGTGAAATTTTAATGTCGTGGGCCACAAAACCATCAGCTTCTCGCTATCGGATGAGGCCAGAGGACATTGAATGGGGAGTGGGGAGAAGAAAGTGGGGACGGATGGTGCAGGCATCTCCCTTGCTTCCCTGTGCTCTGCAGTGCTGCAGGAGCTGGCCGAGACGCAACGGGGACAAGCCCACGTGAGGAGCAGCATGTCCACCTACTACAAGGAGCTGCAGGGCCTCACAGGTGAGAGCCACGGGGCTCCCTCCGTCTTGGCCGTTGGCTGCATTCCCGGTGGGAAGTGTTGGACTGTGTGTCCACATGGGTTGTGAGATGGACTGAGATGGGTTTGTGACGGACCAAGATGGGTTGTGATGGAGGATGAGGTGTGTGATGGACCGCAATGAGTTGTGTGATGGATAAGGAGTTGTTTGATGAACCAAGATGGGTTGTGTGATGGAGGATGGGTTGTGTGATGGACCATGATGGGTTGTGTGATAGACCACAATGGTTGTTTGATGGACCACGATGGCTTGTATATTGGATGATGGGTTGTGTGATGGACCACAATGAGTTGTGTGATGGATAATGGGTTGTGTGATGGATCAAGATGGGTTGTGTGGTGGAAGATGAGTTGTGTGATGGACTGAGATGGGTTGTGTGATGGTTGATGGGTTGTGTGATGGACCTAGATGGGTTGTGTGGTAGAGGATGAGTTGTATGATGGACCTAGATGGTTGTGTCATGGATGATGGGTTGTTTGATGAACCAAGATGGGTTGTGTGATGGATGATGGGTTGTGTGATGAACCACGATGGGTTGTGTGATGGACCTAGATGGATTGTGTGGTGGTTGATGGGTTGTGTGATGGACCACAATGAATTGTGTGACGGATGGTGGCTTGTGTGATGGACCACGATGGGTGGCGTGGTGGATGATGGGTCGATGGGATGGTGGATGACGGTTCTCACCCCACAGCCCTGATCTGCCAGGCCCTCCCGCACGCGCAGCCCTGCTCGCCCGGCTGGAAGGTCTTCGAGAAGAGCTGCTACTCCTTCTCCAGCGAGAGAGCCAGCTGGGACGAGGCCAAGCAGATCTGCGCCGACCTGGGCGCCCACCTGGTCATCGTGGACAGCGACCAGGAGCAGGTGAGATGGGTTCCCAAGGAGAAATGGTGCAAAA